GTACGTTATTAGCAAAAATGTTAAACTAATCTTATCAAACGTCTTTTTCATTTATTTGCACTGAAATTTTATCGTAAACATATGAAATAGCAACGTATAAATTTATCTTATTATTAGACTCGACAAGAGCACAAATGCTAAAAACAATTCACAGTGAATCTGCGACTGGCATTGTTCTATCTGAGCATAAAAAAGCTGTTAACACAATCCCTGAGAGATTAGCATATGAAACACGATGTAGCTGTCGTTACTAGCCGTAGAATAGCTACCAGTACTATGAACTGCATATTTTCTAAGAACAGCGTGATGTGACGAGTTCCCTTTGTGAGAACTGGGCACAGCAACTAGTTCTTTTCTTGGCAACTGTGTCATGAAACACTTCTATTTTTATAAGGCCCTCCCTCAAAAATCGATCTCAGCCCAGGCACGTTCAAATGAGCTGAAATTTGGAGCATATATTGGGGCTGAAGTGTGGAGGCTATGGTAAAATTTTCAGCTCGATACCCTGACGTTTGACAGAGATGTGAACCAAACAAGAGTCGAAAAATAGCTCATTTTCTGTCCAAGATTTCTCGGTTCAGGTTCTGTGAATATATTTAAAATTTTTTTGTTTGAAAGAGCGCGTCGAGATGCAGGGAGCACAGAATCCTTTTTTTTAAATTTTTACTTTATTAGCGGAAAATAGGGATCACAAGTTCAATGACTCAACAAACGCACCAAAAATGGGTGTCTCTGTCTGTATATATAGTAAAAAACAAAACTTAATTAAAAAAAGAACTCGTGGTGCCCTGCATCTTGACACGCTCTTTCGAACAAAAAATAATTTAAATATATTGAAAGAGCCTAGACCAAGAAATCTTGGACAGAAGATCAAAAAGTCACAAACCGAGAAAAAATGAAAAACATTTTGTGATTTTTCAAAAAATCGCTGGTTTTTCGAATAGGGAGTCTCGAAAAACTTCAAAAATTTTTGGAAAAAATGAGGTATCGAGGAAAACTTTTTATCGCTTACGAAAGAGCAGATAACAGGCTATCTCCGCATGCATTTATCTCAATTTCGAAAATTTTGACGAAAATTGACTTTTTTTTGAGGGGGGAGGACGAGGTCATAATCCATCTTAAGGACTAGCTCGTCTTTTGAGAATCGGGTCCTTCTACTCTAGCATTAAGTTTTCTTTAGCTTCCGTCCAGCATATTTGCGCAGTTGACAACCATGGTTCAGAAGGGACCAATTACAAATCTAATAGGAACTTTGAAATCAGATGTTTGATAGAGCCAACTCATTGAAAAATGACTGCTATATAGATCAGTGCAGATCAAATAACTGTTGAGTCAGATCGATTCGTATTAGGTTTGTGACAACTCCAGCTCCACAGTTTGCGAGAGCCGCATCGAGAAGCCGGTGAAGAGCTCCTACGAGCTACAGCTGCTCAACAAATTATCAAGGGTTACCTATAAGAATACCTTTAGATCGTCGAGAACTACCCTATGGGGGTACCCTTAGTTGATCGACAGCTTTTTCTATTGGTCAATCAGATTTAAGGATGCTGTTCCTCCTCGATTGTAAGGACAAGGCATACTTTTATTCGAGTCATAAGAAATAGGGACACGAATAATCTCTTAATCCTCCTAAACAACAATATGCTTTCTCCTAACAATAGCGGAAAAAGAGCTTCCTGAAATGTGATTGATTGGTTGAGGCCAATCAGATTTCAGCGCGATTTTCTCTCTATTGTAAGAACAACAAGTAGTGTTGTTCAGGTAGATCATGGGATTGTCCGTAGCCTTCTTTCTTATGATTTGAATAACAGTTTGCTGTGTCCTTGCAATAGTGGAGAAACAGCTACCTTGAATATGATTGGTCGATAGAAAAACCTCTCAACCAAAAAAGGATACTCCAGTAGAATACTCCTTGAGGACCTAGAAGTATCCCCCATGATAGCTCTTGCAGATCTGATGGTGTGGGTGTGGATGTGGGTACCAGTACTCGTTTCTCTCACATACCCACATCCACACCTATATTCACACTCTAAGTCGCACCGATACCCACACTCAATTCTAGATTTGAGATGTTTAGTGAGAATGCGGATCTCACCGAAGAAGTCTATACCCGCGCTGATAGCCGAATTCAAAGAGAGCACGCGATTGATCTATGGCTAAACCCCATTTCGTTCAAGTAAAAATACATATACCTGATGTTGGGTTCACTAGCTCTATGCAAAAGCCACCCACGAACGCCTCACTAATTTTGCACTTTTCAAATACTACTCAGTGATGCACAACTTGTCATCCATACTGTGGAAATCTGATTTCGTTTACTTAGCATTAAGATGATGAAGAAGTGTAAACCTATACAAGTACTACACATCGAGAACTATATGTGCCTTAGTTTGATGCAATCGCCATCGTTCACAGAGGCTCTTCAATCTCATCTCCTCTTTCGGCGAATGTACGAAGAGATATACTTTTTCGAGCAGTCATTTCAGCTGCCGTCATTTTTTTTCGTTGTTTACGCCAATGAATTGAAATGAAATGCAATGTTTTTTCTCTTTCAATCATACATCGTAAAAAATACAGTGCATACATCCAAGGCAGCGCTCATATTCTGTTTACTTTCACATTTATGTTGCTCTTTCAATTTTTACTCTCGTTTCTTTCTCATTAGCTGATTGTTATTGTTTGTCTGTTCCGAGTGTGGTTGTATGTTATGAGCAATTGCACAACCACACCCACACCCACACCCACCCACACCAACACCCACTCACATTCCATACACCATCCACACCCATATCCACCCACACCCACACCCACACCCATACCCATACCCATATCCATACCCATCCGCACCCATCCGCACCCATATCCACCCACACCCACACCCACACCCATACCCATATCCATACCCATCCGCACCCATCCGCACCCACATCCACACCCATATCCACCCACACTCACACCCATACAAACACCCCACGCCCACACTCAAACTCACACCTGTATTGAAACCTCCACCCATACACACTGGAGCCCACACCTTTACACATTCACATCCAAACAGACGCACACCAATACCTGTACACAGCAAAACCCATATCTACGCCTGTAACTATCCACACCCATACTCACCAATACAAACATGCACGCCACATCCCACACTACAGGTCATGCCGAAAGTAACAGCCGTAACTATCCACACCAAAGCCCAAATCCATACAGATCCAGAGCCACAGCTGTACACGTCCGAATACACAATTAAATTGGAAGCCACATTCACAATCCTCCGTACACAGCGACATTCAGACATACTCACATCCTTATCGAGCAGTTACTTGACTAGGCAATGATAACGGATCTGTTATCGGTTACCAGCTAATTGGTGACAGATCCTGTTTTCGTTGCTTGGTTATACTGCTGATCTCTGATAGTAAATTTCATTTCTGTGCTTTAAGAATAGGAACTTATTACTACTTAGTGAAATAACTAGAGACTAGTCGGTTACCAAGGTCAATGATTCCGAAGAACGGATACTGCAAAAACCGACAGAAAAATGCGGAAAAAGTCACCATATACTGCAGGAAAACATAGGAAATCACCGGAACATGAAAGCAGTATTCCGGCCGGATATTTTCCAGATTTTTTCCGATGATTTCCGGCCTGTTCCTGCTGGAAAGCACAGCAAGTTGGTCGGAATCCATCGGAAAAAATCCGGAAAATTTCTGGCTGGAATACTGCTTACATGTTCCAGCGATTTCTGATGTTTTCCTGCCAGAACCGGCCCGTACTTGTCGACCTGGGTATAGGTTACACAGATTACTGATTAAAAAATTCGTTACCAGGTACCAGTAACTTGTAACTGGTAATTGATTGAATTACCGGCTATCAAGTAATTGATAGCTTGCTAGTAACCACGTGTTTCGCTCAGAAACAGAAATTTTTTCCCCTAGAAGGGTGGATGTGGAGGTAGGTGCGGATGTAAGTGAGGTGAGTCGGTGGACGTGGGAAGAGTGTGACTGCGGTTGTCCGTGTGTGTGTAGGAATCGATCAAGAAAAGATCACACCCGCATTCATACCTACCCACACCCCACACCCAAAGATGCATTGTGCTTTAAGTTTTTGAAAAGTTTTGTGTTTTTTCTGGTTTACTACCCATGTAAAAATCCCTACGAATACTATCAGCATATTTCACTAACGAAGCTCCAAGCAAAGAGCATGTATTATGTAGGTCACACATTAGTACTCATCCTTTAATGCTTTTGCATTTTTTAAATGGTTTACGATGAACTTTATTCGAAAGTCTAGGAGAGAAAAATCAGTTAAACTGATATAAAATCGTATTGAATCTTAATTGATGTTCATATGCGATAATGACATCAATCTTCAAGTCGAATCTTGAATATTTGACAGTATTTGTATCCTTGTTTCTGAAAACTAAATAAAAAGAATCCTGGCATATGCACCTAAAACTACATATTTGTTGTAGAATATATTACAAATACGCAATGAATCGATTTACGGAATTTCAGCTTGAAAACAAGAAATTAAAACCTATTGCCGGCTATTGGGCCTATCAACTTGTTTCTCTCGAAGAGGCATTGAAGCCTCTCTTATCCAAAATTAATGAACTACAACGTTCTATAAAAGAAGCCAAAAAGCATTGCACCTATCCATCAGAACATAAGCTTTCCCGAGATGAATCAGCGGCTTTATTATTATATACCATGGAAGCTTGTGATTATAGTTTTTATCGCGAATTGAATCAAGTACTAAGAAAGGAAGATCGAAATGAAGTAAAGCCCTGGTTCTCCTATCTCAAGTTATTCGATACGGCGCTCAATAAGTTACCTGCAGTAAAGGGAAACATTTGGCGAGCTGTGCCAGGCAATGTAGCAAGTGCTTATAAGAAAAACCAGGTGTTGACGTGGTGGAGTATTAGTTCTTGCTCAACATCGGCAGATGTCGTGAAGGCATTTTTAAAACCGAATCAAGAAGCGACACTCTTCATGATTGAAGCTGTCAATGGAAGAAATATTGCTGGTTACACGATGTATCCAGATGAAGAGGAAGTCATATTGGGAGTTGGCACCCAATTACGTGTCAAAGATATCGGATTTCAACATGGCAATCTACGGGTAGTACAGTTGGAAGAATTAGATGGCAATGACGATGATGAACAAGAAGAATTGACACAAGCCATGGCTACCACATATGTAACACCAAAGCCGTCTAAACCAATCAGTAATCCAACACTTCGTGAGTTACTCATCTATTTTCTTTGTTTAAAACAAAGATGAAAGAAGAACACACTGAAACGAGATGATCAGCGTGCTCGTGGGATGTGGTTATTGGGTTTAATACTGCACATCTTTGTAGCAATCGTCTCTCTTCAAAGGAAATGATTTTGCTAGTATATGTAAACTTTGATAGATTACTGGTAAAGGACTTGCAAGCTCCGAGCAGTCCATATGAAACCGTGAAAAAGGGAATCAACAAGCTCTAGATTTCGGAAAGCCAATAGAAGGTTTTGAAACTTCGAAAAATGATCAGGTTGTGGGTGTGAATGAAAAGAAGGCATACACGCAAACCCCACATTCACACCCTCAGGTAGTTGTTTATGGAATTCTTGTCGCAGGTCACTCCAACGTTGTGCGTCCCAATGAGAGATTGCATGACATTGAACGTGAAAAATTATTGAGATATGATCTTCATAAGTTAATAATAATGTTCAGATTATAACTCTAGTAAATATGACTTGATCGAGATCAGAGCGGTGGCTACGATTAGAATTTATTGTGTTCTGATTATGGCAAAAATATGAGACCAATTGGTTGAGGTTAAAATAGTTTTTCATCTAGGAGCGTTACTTTTGTCGGTTACTTATCACGAAAAAATCTTGAAATAAGCCTAGAGAAAATCTTTGATGTTTCAGAGCCAGGTTCTTGACAAATATGATCAGGATCCTGACAGGATTCAAAAGAAAATATCTTAGGATCTTGACAAGTTTACCATTGCTTTTCAAACCAAGGTTGAGCCAGAAAATCGATGATTTCTGAAAGAATCGTGTAGTCATGGAATTGTAAGATCCTGTAAGGATTTCAATAAATCTAAATTGGAAAAAATAGATTTTTGATCACATCTTTTAGGATTTCACTAGGTTTCCTCAAAGATGTTATCGAATATCTTGACAGGATCTTTTATAGGATTGAGCTAAGTTACTTTCAGGATCTTATCAATATCTTGGCAAGATCTTTGCAGGATTTTCTAAATAGAATATAAGAGAAATTAACACATAGAGTATCGATCTCTTGACCTTCAGTTAACACATCCATCAGCTTACCGAGCCGGATGTAATGTCATTCTATATCATTTTAACGTTCAATGTCTTAATTTCTGACTCTAATGTAAAATTATATTTGATTTTGTGGAACTCACATATATTTTTGAAAAAAATAGTGAGTGTAAGTTTTAAGATTAAGTTTTTGCGGTACCCCATTCCATTTCAGACACTCTCCATTATAGACACTTCCCATTACAGACCGTAGCAACTTCGTCAAAAAAGAAAAAAATTCTGTTCAAAATATAAAGATAAAAAGACAGCATTTTCTGATAATCGATTATCATTAGAAAAGAACTATTATCTTTTAGATAATTTAAATATTGTGTATTTTGTGATTAGTATAATGAAACCAAAGAAGATATGTGAGAGTTCCACATTTCAGCCCCAAAGGGGCTGCACTAACAAGTTTTTTTTTCTAAACACAAATTATCTCAAAAAAATTCTGAAAATGAAATATCATTTTACATACTTATTTTAGTTAATGAAACTTAATATTCTTTTAATTTCGATTCAATTGAAAAAATATATTTCAAATTTTTTTTTCGATACGTAGACAAAACTATTAGCAGTTTTATCGAAACGTTTGCTACTGACTAAAACTATCTTTTTAGCGAAAAAAAAATTACGATGACTAAATTCAAATTTACACCCTAATTTATAGATTATAGATTTTCTTTTCTTGATATGATTAACAAAATAACTCACTGCTATCGTCCAAATCTCAACACAACTTTTGTATAAACTTCAAAGAGATATAGAATTTTTTTTCTTAGAGTTTTAAGATTTGTTCTATTTCTTATTGAAAAGCACTAAATAAAAATCGAGATAAATATGTCAGTGGATCATTCATTCCTTAGCAGTTGGCCGTGCTTCGAACAAAAACACGATAAGATCTTGAAAAATTCCTGCTTTCATTATTGTTAAGATCTTGTTAAGCACTGATATTGAAATTCTGTTATTTACAGATTCATAAATCTTGAACGAATCCTGACTTGAGCCTAGCTGAAAACGCGAGGGAATCATTTCATTCATTCTTGGTAGGTTCCTGAAAAGATCCTGAAAATAAAATTTTGAATAGTCTCTAAAAATAAACTTCGAAAGATCTTAACTGGCCTCTTGTATATTTTTTAATCAAGGTTCTGATCATGCTTGTATTTTTTAAGCATTTGAAAAGCCTGTTCATGAAAAATTCCGCTCAACATCCTGATTGAAGTTTAACAGGATTTGTTAGTTGAGGATTCTGACGAATCTTGCTTTATTTCTGGTAGGATTCGTTCAAGTTCCAACTATAAATCTTGACAGGATCCTCGAATCAGCATTCAGAATAGATCTTGACGAAATCCTCTCTATGATCGTGGTCAGATCTTAGATAAGATTTCGTCAAGATCTATTCTGGATCCTAGATACTCAATTCAGACAGAAATTCGAGCAAGAACTTGAACAATTCCTGGACAGAATCCTGAATCAACCTTGACAGGATTCTGAAAATGTATGATTCTGAAAGATCCTCCTAGGTTTTCACAAGAAATGAACATGACTGAATTGACTAAACAGTAGCCTGCCAAGATCGTTGCTAAATCATTATATTTTCTTATCAAGATTCTGATTAGGATTGATAATGTCTTGCAAAGTCTGGAAACGCATATTCGTGAAAAGTTCGGAGAAAGATCCTAATTGAAACTTTTCAGGATTAGTCAGTTTCGTATTCTAACTGATCTTGTTATTTTCTTTTGAGGATCTTCGTCTGATGTGACTATTAATCTTGACAGAATCCTGATACGAAGATTTGACCTAGATCTTGACGAGAACTTGATAAAATCTTAGCAGAATTCTCTTTTATAAACTTGAGAGGATTCTCGATAGGATCTTGAGTCAATCCTGGTAGGATCCTGTATTTTCAACTCGGAAAAGTATTTGAATATGAACTTGAAGAAATCATGAACAGGATCCTAAATAAAACTTGACAAGAGCCTTGAGATTAAGAATCCTGAAAGATCCTTTCCGGGTTTCTCAAGGAATGATCAGGATTGAGACTAGGGTAGTATTTTGATCCAAATCGGTGGAGCTGAATCGTGAACAATTTGAAAAGCTCTTATCTGGATTTCTGCAAAACCAGGACTATCTGACAAACATCTATGGATAAGATTCAATAACGAATAATAGCCTTAACTAAGAGATCCTGGTCAATGCTCTAGGATTTGTTCATATATGAATTGAATTCAAACCAACGATGCAATCTTGAAGTATACATTCTGTGACGGTTCTCCACAATAATCATTTATGTATTTTGAACAAGATCATCATGTGAAAAAACTTCGAATTTTGATAGAATCATAATACTAAAATGTCAAGTAGATACTGGAAGGAATCTGCGAAAGCCTTTAGACGATCTTTCTTTTTGTTCCAACGAAGATTCTGATAAAACCAAAGGATACTTTGAGACAATATCCAAGAACCTCATACAAAATTGTTTTCATTGTATCTGTTCAGAATTCTGACTAAACGTTTTAAACTAGTGCCAAAAATATTATGAGTGAAACTAGGGATTCAATGATTTACGTGTGGCATTTCTTTCAGGATGTCAGATGTGTGCTATTTTCTGTGTAAACCGAGTTTCAAAGTGTCCTACGTTTTTTGTGTGCAGAACCAAAAGAAGGCAACTTCGAAGATAACTTCAAGTGAAAACAACATCATGCCGAAGACAAGCACTTAGTTATATAGCTACACAGATTATGCTTTGAATTTCAACTCGAGAACTGTCGATGATTTTTCCTGAAAAGAATAGAACGACAGTGTTCGAATTTCGTTCAATGATGCCTATCAGGAACTATTGAGATGGTAATGAATGATTGAAAGGCAGAAAATTCTCTCTGCGGAACACAAAAATAATGTGAACCGGAAATGAGTAGAATTTATACGAGTATAAATCATGTTTTGCAAAAGTGATAGACGAGCATAGAATTATCTCCAACATAGATAGCAATATTTGATTTGAATGTTGCTTTGTGTTACAAATCTAGGATTCATCGTGGAGCTAGGTGACCCTGTTTTCTCAATCCATATTCAATTCATAAGAGGATCATCACTGGGAAGAAACGCAATAGCTCATATAATTGTTAGCGCAAATTCGCACAGTTAATGATCAAACTGTTTTCTCTTCATTTAGAGTCTCCTAAACCAAGTCAGGCTACAGCCAGTGCTGCTGCTGTGCCGAAGAGTAAATTGGCGCCATATCAACAATCATCGAAACCGCAACCTGCAATAAAATCTGGTATGTTCTTTTGAATAAGGCAATACTCTTTCGTAAGAAATAACTCGATCGGTCCTATAATTCAAGTACTGCTTTATGTCGTATTATCTCTGATTATTTACGACCAATTGAGACCAACATAAAATAGTGCTATCCTGCTGCCAGTACACACCATTTTCTTCTGGAACGATCCCTGGTGGCATAATGAACGACACGTTGATTCCTATTTTTAGTCGATACAGTGTAGTAGTGGCGTAACCAGAAAATGACCGGTGCCCGGGCGGTGCCCCAGTGTTTCAAAAATTTAATTCACAGTAGTCAAAACTTTCATCGAAGAGTGATTAGTCCTCACAATTTTTGTTCTCTTAAAAAGAGAATAGAATATGTCCAAGGCTGCGTAAATTAGGAAAAGTAAGAGTGGTGATACAACCCAATTCGAGCAAATTTTACTGAATGAGCTTCAGAATCTTTCATTTTTCTCGCTCACGAACACGGTTGCCCATAAGCCTTCGAGCTGAGCGAGGACCGACGATCTGTATGATCAATTAGGGAATTTTTTGAAAAATGTACACAATTTTTTACGGAAACTACAGCATTTTTTTGTCAATTTTGCGACGGAAAAAGCACAAAATTGAAACAAATTTTCGAAAAAAATTGAAATTTTTTTACTAGAAGGGAGCCGATCTGATTTCGAGACCTGATGAGGA